TACTTATGCGCACGTCTCGATAATGATATCAGTATTAATGAGGCTATAATTAAGTCCGCTTTCGTCCTTAATTAAAGACTAATTTCCACTCAGGAAAATTATCCGTGGATTGGAACGGACCAGAAAATTTTTCTTTGTGTGAAAGTCATTAGTTCAACCGAGAGCTCACAAGACAAAGAAGAATTTTCTTGTCCGTTCCAATCCACTGATAATTTTCCTAAGTGGAAATTAGCCTTTAGTCGCTTTCTATTAAAATTTTATTAAGGTCCATACAGACCGAACGCGACTTCAATGCGACGCGAATTTTCAGTTTTTAAAAACAAATAAAACCGTCAACGGATAAAACTTTTACAAGATATGCAGACCAAATAGCTAGAATTGCTCAAGTGGTCCGAATATTTGAAAAACATAGAAAAACAGTTGAAGTTATATTCATTGAAAATTAAATATTCGCGTCGCGTTGCCAAATCGCGTCCGGTCTGTATGGACCTTTAAGCCGGTTTTCATTAGGCGAAATTTTGCGCGCGGAGCGGAATTTTTCTTTATCTTTTCTAATTAGTTCCACCCGAGAAATCGCAAGACAAAGAAAAAGTCCACTTCGCGCGCAAAATTTCGCCTGGTGGAAAACCGGCTTTAAGCCTGTTTTCCACTAGCCGGAATTTTGCGCGCGGAGCGGAATTTTTCTTTGTTTTTTCTAATTAGTTCCACCCGAGAAATCACAAGACAAAGAAAAATTCCGCTCCGCGCGCAAAATTCCGCCCAGTGGAAAACAGGCTTAAAGGCCGTTTTCCACTAGGCGGAATTTTGCGCGAGGAGAGGAATTTTTCTTTGTCTTGTACAGGGTGTCCCAAAAAAAAGTGATACTATAGAAATTATCCTATTGTTATAATTTGAATGCCCTAGCGTTAAGTTGATCCCACAGGTGCATAAACTTCTGCTTCTGGAATTTAAAATAAAAAAGCAAACCGTTTATTAGTGTAATCGTTTTGCTTGACTCGGGCGTTAAAATATTTGGACAAAGCGAAAACGTTTTAAAATGCTTAAATGTAAATACAAGTTCATCAAATTCCCAGGCGTGTAATCACGCGCGTTTACGGAGCGGCTTAAGAACAATGAGATAATTTCTATAGTGTCACTTTTTTTTGGGACACCCTGTAGTCTCGGGTGGAACTAATTAGAAAAGACAAAGAGAAATTCCGCTCCGCGGGGAAAATTCCGCCTAGTGGAAAACGGCCTTTAAAGCCTACTTCCATTTGGTCGTTAGTTGTCGCTGGTACGACAAGTGGCTGATGTAATACAGTGTGTATAAAAAAAAACTGAACCCTTTCAAATTTAAATTAGCTATAACGTATTGTAGTAATTTGACAGCTCTAATTGCTTTGAATTAATGGTTGGGTAAGAACACAAGGTCTTGTACCCATGGGACGAAACTCAAAGAAATGAAAATTAGAAAATTTAAAAGTTTTTAAGAGTTTTGTCCCATGAGTACAAGACATTGTGTTCTTACCCAACCATAAATTCAAAGCAATTATAGCTGTCAAATTACTACAATACGTTATAGCTAATTTGAATTTGAAAGGGTTCAGTTTTTTTTTATACACCCTGTAGAGTGTCAACAAAACTTTATAAAACTCTGCAATCATTAAGACTGATTTGCATATAACACACAAAAAGACTATTGATATTAGACTGAGCAAGTTGCCGATTAAATGCTTGCCAGATGTTTGTTGAGAAAATGAAGTCTGACGATCAACCAAATAACCCTATTGCTAACATTTTGAGGCATAACACTCATAATGAACGTAATCATAGTTATAATTTAAGACACGAGGGACAAATAGAGTAAGAGTATACGTACAGAACGTTTCTCTCAGTTTATTACATGCAAATATTATTGATGTTTCTTAGTTATTGTAGGTTTTTCTTTTTAAACTTTTTTATTTAATCTTGTTAATAGATATCTTTATATTTGTAATATTTCTAAAAGCTCATTGTCATCTCTAGTTTAAGCGTGTAATTCAGTTTTGTAACTGCAAAGCGTTTTATTAAACTTATTATTATTATTATTATTATTATTATT